TTTAAAAACCAAAACTGAATCTAGTATTATTGATGTAGGACAGTACTGTATCATACCTCTATGAATGTAAAATATCTAGTACCTGCTTTATCAGAGCTACATATAATGATATTACTCTAGAATGTTCTCTTTCCAGACGATGATTAAGAGCCTAATAGAAAAAATGGTGCCAGGTACTACAGCAGCAACAGAACTTTGCTGTTCTCTGGATATTATTCTTTTCTTTGGTTTTTTTTGGTTTTTTTTTAATGGAATGTGCTGAATGTCTATAATTTTGTTCAGACGACTGCAGAACCTGGAAAAGCTGTTGCTGCTATCAATGCATAACATACTATTATTAGTCTTTATGTATACACGTATACACACACACACACACACACACACACACACAAACTGAATTTTGGGAAACTTTAACGGTGCTGCCAACTTTGGAAAAAGTCATCCCAATTTACTGTGTTGGCTTGGCATTGTAGAGAAATGGACAACCATATTGGTCTAGAAATGTTAATTTATTTTTATCTTTTTTTTTTTATGTGTACAGGGGTAACACATCGTACTAAATATGTAAGGTCATATCTACGTGGGTTTGATTACAGAAACTAATAAAGTATTCTCTAAATAATGAAAAAAGAATAAGATAAGACTATAAGAGCGAGAAGCAATTTAAATATATTCAGGGACCATTTTCATCTCCAGAATTAAGGATTATTTTGATGTTACATCATTGCCTTTTCTCTTTTACTTTCCTTTTTAGTTTTATTTTAGGATTCCCTATTTTTAATGTTCATACAGAGATTTCTCTAACTGAAATACCAAATAGTTTCTTTGGTGTGAAAAACTACAATAGTACACAGGATCCTAATGAGATAATTAATAATGTGAAATAGGAAGTAAAGGGCTAAAGGTGTAAGGAAAGTGGGAAGGGTGGGGGAAAGGTAATAAGGGAGAGGAAAAAAATATGAAAAACTGAAAAAATGGAAATAAAGTGTTTGTAAATGGGGAGGGGAGGAGCGGGAGGAGGGAGGGCAGGGACAAGGGGAAAAATGAGAATCAAGACTTATTATGTAAAGGTACAGAATCCCAATGATGAATGTAATTGTATTGTATACCTAGATTGTACCAATAACCTCAATAAAAAGAAAAAAAAAAGAATGAAGTGCTGAACAGGGAAGGTTGTATACCCTTATATTCTGCTGGCAGAAGTGTATATGTGTACAACCCTTTTGAACACCAATTTGTCACTTTTCAACCACATATGGGAAATTATATTAAAGGAATAATTTAAAAGGAGGAAAAACTAACTATATGCACTAAAGTGATGAAGTTACCATCAAAAGCCAAAGAATTATATATACTTTATATGTAAATGAATGATCGAAGAAGGCAAAAGAAAAAAAAAAGAAAAAAGAAATATACATCAGAGCCTTCAAAATCAGAATATATCTTAATTATTTACAGTACCAATAGTTTTACTTTTTCTTCATATATACCTGGAAAAGATCCATACTGAGCTCCTGACTGTCGTCTGGCTTCTTCCTCCTTAAAAAGAAAAAAAAAAAAAAGGAATAAATTATATAATGAGCACGCAGGGAAGTTTGCGTCCACCCCTAATCAACACATTCAAATTCATAGAAAAGTTATATCAGACTAAAGGATATAGCCCCCCTCCCTCTTTCTTTCTTGACAGGGTTTATATATCCCAGGCTGGCCTCAAACTTGCACTGATCTTCCTGCCTGGAATCACAGGTGCCACCAAGTGACAGACTCAACGTCTTTCCTTAACAGCCAGGAATCCATTGTTTTAACTAAAGGAATCAAATAATTCTGGGCAAACATCCTCAAGAACCACCACTTAGTCATATCCTATTCCCAAATTTTGATTTTAGAGAAACATTACAAACAAGAATGAACCTAGGAATTAAAATAGTACCCAAGGGCCAGAGATTTAGCTCAGCCGTTCGGTGGCCTATCTCGCAAGCCCAAGGACCTGAGTTCAATCCCCAGTACCACACAAAAAAAAAGTACCCTAAAGCTCTGACACCCAGTTTACGAATGTGGTTTTGTTTTATACAGAATCTACTAAAATCTACTAATCTACTTCAGCACCTTTTCATGGATTAGCTATAGAAAGTTTACCCTCTGGTGGGCTGGAGATATAGCTTAGTAGCAGAGTGCTTGCTTAAATGCACAAGGCCCTGGGTTCAATTTCTAGCACTGCAAATTTAAAAAAAAGAAACAAATATTACCCTCTGGGCTCTTTCATGCTCTTCTCGAGCCTTCTTAACCCTTTCTATTCTTTCTTTGATTTCTCGTTCTTCACGTTTTCGTTCATACTTTCTCCGATGTTCAGCAATTTTCTGGGCCTAGAATAAGAGCCACAGAAAGTAAGTTGCTCCAAATATTACATAAGGTCAACACAAAAGAGTAACTTTTATTTGTGGAGAGTTAATTCAGTATGTAGTTACTTAAAAAAAAAAAAATGACAGTTTTATATTATAGAAAAATACCTAATGGCCAGGGATTTAGCTCAGTGTGTCACTACCTGCTTCGCAAGTGCAAGGACCCAAGTTTGATCCCCGGTAACAAAAACAAAACAAAACAAAACAAAACTAACACAAACTCAGGCTTTAACAAGACCAACAGCAAGTGCACGAAACACTGAGAACAAGAAAAGAAGGATGTATAGTTAGAAATGCTTTACTCCTCAAACAACAGTCTAAGCTGAAGGACAAAAAAATGGGCTCATCGCAGTACAATTCTTGCTTAGTAGTTTCTACCAGCTGTGTAGTGTTAGGAATTCAGAAATTACACTGGGTCAGGAGGAAAACTATCATTAGTGATGTATGCCATGGGAAGGCAGACATCAGAAACACACATATCAGGTATTTGCAGTCTAAGTTTCCTCATCCATAAAATGGGGGAGGAACCCAGAAACACTTAAGTCTTTTTTTTTTTTGGTACCGGGGATCGAACTCAGGTCCTTGAGATTGCGAGACAGGTGATGGAACCACTGAGCTAAATCCCTGGCCCAGAAACTCTTAGTCTTGAGGCTAGGGATGAAGCTCAGTAAAAGAACTTTTCCAGCATTCACAAGCTCCTGAGTTGAATACCCAGCACTGCAAATAAAAAACAAAACCTTGGGAATCATTTCTTGAAATCACAATCTCCCACAAAGCTGAAGCACACAAATGCTTTAAAATTATTTTACCAATTCTAAATAGATTCATAATCACCTTAGAACATTCTACATCAGTGGTGGCAAACCTATGGCATACATGTTACTGTGTTTCTCATTTAAGACAAAAGATGTTAATATAGAGTTCTAAACTTAAAATGTCAGTACTGTATTCAGGTTTAAAGTGTTGACACTTTGGAACACAAGTGGATTTTTGGGTTGTGGTTGGGCACTCAATCCCTAAAAGGTTCAATATCACTGTTCCAGATTTTGGATTCAATACTATACAATAGTATACACCTATGGTACAGAAAGACAAACTAGAGGTGATCTTGGGTCATATTTTGTAGATTTTCTAGTTCTTTCCTTGGAAACCTGCCTTTTCCATTTCTGATGCTCCAGTTTTATTTCCACTGTGGTTTTGCAAACAAATAAGAGCTTGCTCTAATGCAGCACAAGAGACAAAAGTGTAAAAGCTTACTTAAATTTTAAGAGTCGAAAGTTCAGTGAACATCTAAATCTTTCTTTACATCTATTTCAAGTAAATTATGGCTGCTGGGGCCTAAGTACTTGAGCCAATGACTTTCCTTTTCTCTGCACGAACATACCCTTGGCTGAACTTCTTTCAGCATTGCACTCGCATCTTCATCATAATCCAGTTTACAGGCAAGGGCAAGATCATGGGCTGCTTCTTCCCAATGGCCCAGAAGTCTGAAACACATACACACTCATTGTAAGTCTTTCACATATTCATTCTAGTAGCATGAACTCTTTCTTCCAGATAAAAAAAGTACTGTCCTAGATTGAGTTACATATTAATAAAATTTCATCAACCAATTCAGTATTATGTTACTGTGTTGCCCAATTCTATAAAAACTTGAAGGAGTTTAAATTTCCTCAATGGCAACTCTGAAGTTGCTCTCCTATTTAATTAAAAAAAAAATTAACAGCTAAAATATAAGCCAGGCACGGTGCTGCATGCCTGTGATCCTAGCATTTGGGATGCTAGGCAGTGTGATCAACATGAGTTTGATGCAAGCCTGAAGTACAGAATGAGTTCAAGGCCAGGCTGGAATAAATAGCAAAACCGGTCTCAAAAACTATAAATAAATAGCTTTCTTAATTCAGAAGACATCAAAAAAAGTAGAGTAGTCATTTTATTTTCTTTTTGATTTTTTGACACAGGGTCTCACTATGTCACTATGTAGTTCAGGCTGCCCTCAAACACACAGTGATCCCCCTGCCTCAGCCTGAGCATGCACCACCAAACCTTGACAGCAGTAATTTTCAACTCACCAAAAAGACTGACATAATATACACATAAGGACGTTACTTTCCTTGAAATCACAGGGAAAAAAACTAAGTATAAATGTGCTCTTTATTGGAGGGAGGGGGAGAATGAGTCAAAAATAAGGTTGGCAGGGGCCAGGGATTTAGCTCAGTGGCACACTCCTGCCTGGCAAGTACAAGGTCCTGAGTTAGTTCTCCGGTACCAATTAAAAAAAAAAAAAAAAACAGGCTGGCAGGGTAGGTAAGAATGGGATGCAACAGATGGTAATGGAAATGTGAGTTCTCTGAGTATACTTTTAATTCAGCTTTGCCTCTTCAACTGATAAAATTAAGTATTATTTATTCAAACAATAATAAAACTAGAAAAGATGAAAATAAATCAGAAACTTGAACACAAACAGAAATAAAAGACTAACTATACCACAAGGATAACAAACAACTGAATTCAAGTAACTTTTTCAGTTATTTTAACTGGGCCAGGGATTTGACTCAGTGGTTCTACCACTTGCCTTGCAAGTGCAAGAGCCCAAGTTTGAGCCCCAGTACCAAAAAATAAAATAAAATAATTAAGTTATTTTAACTATTTTAAGTGGAATATATTCTAAGGATGAGAACTATGCTCAAAAATGAACCCTTCAAACTTTGGAGGACTTAAGTGTAAATGAATACATTAGGGTCAAAGATTTTGCATATATGAGAAAAGGGTGAAAAATACAAAATAAATGACAAAAAGGAAAACACTTATTGCTAAATTTTATTTTTTTATTTTTAGTACCAGGGATTGAACTTGGGACCTTGCACTTAAAAAGGCCGGCAGTGGAACAACTGAGCTAAATCCCCAGCCCCCTGAAAGAAGTTTTTGCCTAGTACTGCTCACTGGAATGATAGCAATGACATACCATGAATGCACCTTGCTCCCCAAATCTCAGCTTTCACTAAAACAAATGACAGCTTCTTGGAAAAATGGTTTAATAATTCTGCCACAGACAAAGTTCAAGATAAGTGCATGTTACCTTATAAAAAAAGGCATACTTGAAGACTGGTGGGAATTCAAAAGGCTCAACTAAAACATGTGAGATTTTCCTATCCCACATAGCATTCATAAGATTTAAACTTTTTACCTTTCTTTTTGACATGTCTTTATAAAAATCAGTAGTTATCTGAGTCAGCTAACACAGTTGTCCCCAAGAACATCTATCTTCATCTCTACACAAACCTTAAATATATAGCTTTTTAAATCAGGTAAGACATAAATTTCATCCCTAAAACACAAATATTCATTTGTGAAACACTAAATTTTGCCAAAAGGAATGATTATTAAGAGCTGAGGATAAGTTCACTGTTGGGTTCAATCTCCAGTACTGCAAAACAAAACAAAAAAACAAAACAACCCAGCCAGAAATGCTGGTGGATGCCTAAGGTCTAAGACAAAGGATCATCTTGGAGGGCAAATTTGCAAGAAGCTTTCTCAAAATAAAAAGGCCCTGGGCTCAATCCTGGTATCTAAATAAATATAAACAGGGCTGGGGATTTAGCTCTGTGGTGCCACCACCTGCCTTACGAGCGCAAGGTCCTGAGTTCAATTCCCAGCACCAAAATACATACATACATACATACATACATACATACATACCTGTCAGTATATATTTATATCATACATACATACATACATACATACATACATACATACCAGTAAAAATATATTTACAGAGTTCTGAAAATAATCAAACTCTACTAATTTACCTGTGTGCTTTCCCTCGCCACTTGTACGGCTGGGCTGAATCGGGATTTATTTCAATGGCTCTGTCACAATCTCGAATGGCAGCATTTGGCTTCTGCAATTTGATGAAGACACTAAAAAAAATGATTGATTTTTTAAAATATACATTTTAAACAGTAAGATCTTTTGGCATTACCAGAGAATTAATTGCATTTAAACAAATGAGAAAAAATTATTCACTGGGGTGCTATTTGGAGTTCTCACCTGGCTCTCTTGGCATACAGAATGGCCAGGCGAGGATTCAGCTTAATGGCATCTGTGAACAAGTCAATGGCTTTCTGTAGTTCACCTAAAATGAAAAAAAGTTAGTGAGAAATATTTAGAAGATAAAAATATTAAAAAAATAATTTGATTGCTTATCCAATTATTTTACATTCTTCTTTAAACCCACTAAAAGAGGAAGAGCACTAAGAGTAAGGGTACAGTTCAGTGCTAGAATAATTGTTAAGCAGGTGAGAGCATCTTTGGAATCACAAAAAAGAAAATAAGCCAGATGTGGTGGTGGATGCCTTTAACTCCAGCATTCTGGGAAGATCACAAGTTCCAGCTCAGGCCATGCAACTTCGCAAGACTAAAAGCAATACACCAAAAAACAAAAGCCTCAGCCCTTAAATTCCTACCCCATCTCCAAATCTAATTTCTCATCTGTATCTTCTCAAGCAAATAAAAGATTCTTCGTTTATTTTTATTTAGCTCCTTCAGGAGTTGGCAAACTTTCTGAAAGAGCCATATAACTATTTTACCCTTGGCAGACCATACAGTCTGTCTTAACTACTCAAAGATACAACTGTCATGGAAAAGCAGCCACAGTTAAATGTCAGACCTGGAATTCGAACACTGGTGCACAGTCTACTCTTTAACTATACTTCTGTCTCTGCAAGTAAAAGCATCTTTGCCAACTCTAGGCGGGGTTTGAGTTGATAATCTCTGGCTAAGTGCTTGTTTTATCACTTAGATACTGCAAAAATTGCACAAATTCTAAAATTAGAACTAGATCAAATTTATACATGAGTAAAAAGCTTAGAAAGAAAGCAAAACAAAAACATGATTTATTAGGTGGGGGGGTTCGTTTTCATTATTGAACACTGGTAATACAAACTTTTTAAAAAAGAGAGAAAAATATACCAAAATGAGTGATAAAGTGAAAACATGGCAAAAATCCTGTGCAAGTCACAACGTTTTTTTTTTGGTACCGGGGACTGAACTCAGGACCTTGTGCTTTCTTTTTTTTTTTTTTTTTTTTTTTTTTTTTGTTTGTTTGTTTGTTTGTTTTTTGAGACAGGGTCTCACTATGTAGTTGAGACTGACCTAGAAATCACTATGTAGCCCAGGCTAGTCTCGAACTCACAGCGATCCTCCTGCCTCAGCCTCCCAAGTACTGGGATTACAGGCGTGCACAACCATGACCAGCTCTTGGACCTTGTGCTTTTGCCAGGGAGTCAGCGGAACCACTGAGCTAAATCTCTGGCCACGTTACAACCTTTTTAAACTCCCAGGTTTTTAATCAAGAAATTAGTTTTATGAGGTTTTAATGAAATAATGTACACCAAAACATTACACTGTCAGGCATGCAGGGTAGTAAATAAATGTTGAATAAATAGTAACCTTAGGTGGTAGGGAAATTAAAAATATTATAGAAAATGATTAGTTAGGAAGAGTGCTAGGTAGAAATAAGTCATAAATCTGAATTTTAAAAAGGTGACAAGGGCCCAGGATTTAGCTCAGTGGGGCCACTGCCTGCTTTGCAAGCATAAGTTCCCAAGTTAAATCCCTAGGACTTAAAAAAGAAAAAAAAAGAGTGACAAAAAGCTATCTAAGAGGGCAGGGGATGTAGCTCAGCGGTAAAGCACATGCTTGGGAATCTCAAGGCCCTGAACTCAACTCTCAGTACCGAAAAAAAAAAAAGCTGAGAAGGAGTTAAGCATGAGTAAAGGAACATCCTAGGACAGTGAGATCTGACAGGAATAAAGATTAACATTCAAAAAGAGAAAACAAAAATGAGAAAGTGAAATAAGGAAAATGGCTAGCAGGCTGACATGCTATAAATGAATATTTTCAAAATGTATATACCTGCCAGCCGTGGTAATACATGTCTGTAATCTCAGCACTCAAATGGCTATGGCAGAAGGATCACTTTGAGTTCAAGGCCAGCCTGGGCTACATAGTGAGTCCAAGGCCAGCCTGAACTACACAGTGAGATGGTCTCAAAAAAATAAAAGTATGTACAAATGGTCATATTGTAAGAAAGTAATAATATATAAAGCAGTTCTTAGTAAAGAAAACAGGGATTTCAGGTAGGCAAACTATTAATGCAATGGCAACAAAAACAGTATAAGCACGTGGTAAGGACCTAAACTAAGAAGGTGGTAGGATTACAAAAAAAGAACTGAATGTGTTTGCCAACTTGGACAGCAATACTGACCTCATCCTAAAATAAACTTCAGTCATCTCAATCTATTATACATGAAGTCAAAATGCAAATCAGCCTTGTGATGGCATCTATTTAACTGCAACTCAATGACATTCCAGTCATACCACTACATAAAGGTGCACATTAAATGATACTGGTAGTATGAGCCAGGCATGCCGACACACGCCTGTAATCCCAGCACCTGGGAGGCTGAGGCAGGAGGATCGCTGTGAGTTCGAGACCAGCCTGGGTTACATAGTGAGTTTCAGGGAGATCCGAACAACATACTGAGACCCTGTCTCAAAAAATATTTAAATAAATAAATGTATAAATAACACTGGTAGTAGTAACAGCATCTGAGTTTTTAAATTTAAAATGGCTTTTTAATTAAAACTGATAAACATTACACATTATACTATCAATCCTCTCATTCTGACAGAATTTTATGAAAATCTAACATACAAGAATTAAAAAGTGTTAAATGTCTAGAAATACCATCTGTCAAGAGTATTTACTATGTAAAATTCATAGGTCATCGCTCATCTTGAAAAGTCACTCATCTTTTAACACTTTCTCAGTGGAGTTAACACCAGTGACACTCTCAGGCAAGCAGAGGCTGTGAGCGACACCAGGATCTATCCAACCTCCACAGAAAGGTTACTGAAACTCAGTGATTTCAGCCTCGTTATCAACAAGAAAGAGGTGGTTGGATAACAGGGCACAATCTGCTCCAGTATACTAAAATAATAAATGTAAGTTTCCTTCAAATTTCCCACTATTTAATAATCACTGCAATAGGAAACATTCACACTATATAGTTATGTAGCAAGGAGAAAAAAAATTACCATCATTTAGAGCATCAATGGCAGCCCCTTTCTTTTCATTTGCTTGATCCATCATCTCTTCAGTTATCTGACAGGAAATAGAGAATTATCTTAGAAGCAGCAGAGGAATGGGAAAAAAAAGAATCAAGCTGTATTATGTATAGGTACAAATTCCTTACGATGAATGTGATCATCATGTGTATCAAAACTGTACTAATAAAATTAATGAAAAAAATAAAAAAGAAGTAGCAGAGAAAGCAAGAAAAGGAAGCAATTTGGGCTTTCTGAGGAAGGAGGAAGTTATGACCCACATTTTCATTATTCATTTGTCTCCAGAAAATAAAGGATAATTATAGTAACTCCTGAGAATTTACACAGAATGAGCTTGAAACTTCAGTTAGTGTTTTTGACAGGATCTCGCTTTGTACAGTTCAGGTTGGCTTCAAACTTGTGGTGATCCTCCTGCCTCAGCCTCCAGAATGCTGGGATTACAGGCATGCACTACCATGCCTAGCAAACTTGGACCTTTTATACTAAACAAATTTTACTCTCTTCCTTCTGCCCTTGATAGCCTCTGCTTTGCTTCATCTCCAATTTTAGTATATATGCTGCTGAAGCAAGCACTGCTCCATCTCCAATGCATGTTGCTCTGTTGTAGTTTTACCACCTCCCCCATGGCTATCCATAAATATCAAATCCAATCACCTCACAAAGATTTCAACTAAATCCATTTAAGTTTGAATCCTCAGAAGAGAAAGGTCTCACTCATTCTTTTATTTCCATAAAAATCAACTGAGCACCTGTACTAGACAAAACAAACAGAAGATGTTGGCAGCATAGGGGTTAGTTGGAAAACTTACAGCAAGTATCTTGTCTTAAATGCTAAGTTCAGGAGCAGTTCCTTCTATAATCACTACTGTGTGAAACAATTAAGTGGAGAAGCTGGAGAATTCATTGAGAGAATGAGCTGACACGTTTAAGGAACTGAAGGAAAGATGCAAACTATCTAGAAAATCCAATGCAACTGTCAAGTTATTAGAGCTAGGAAAATAACTCAATGAAAGTGCCAGGTGCAAGAGCAATATACAAAAAACAATTTTAAAAAGTTCCTAGATAGATGGAGCAATGCATGGCTATAATCCTAGCACTCAGGAAGGCCAAGGCAGGAAGACTGTAAATTCAAACTTAAACTGGGCAATTTCGTAAGACCTGCTCACACACACACACACACATTCCACAAAAAATTAGCCACCCTAGAAACTAAAACTATCAACCACAGTTTCTAAGATCATACAAGACCACCATGGGGGAAAAAACCTAAAATTCTATTAAAGAACAAAAAACAACTTCAAGAAACTTCTTTTGGGGGGTACTGGGGATCGAACTCAGGATCTTGTGCTTGTGAGGCAGGTGGCAGAACCACTGAGCTAAATCCCCAGCCCTAAGAAACTTTGATATACAACATATTCATCAAAAAGAGACCACTGTGAATATTTCAATATACCTTCAACTTACTTAGTAAATGCAAGCAATTCCAACAAAACTCCTTTGACAAAATTACTAAAGCTTTTAAGGGAAAAATTAATTTATCAGCTAATAAGACATTCTATACAAAGCTAGAGTAATTTTAGAAAATTATTAAAAGAAATGAAAGACCTAGCCAAGTATGGTAGTGCACACTTGTAATCCTAGTACTTATGAGGACTGTCCAGAGGGTCATTATGAATTTAAAGCCAGCGTGGGCTAGGAAGTGAGTTCATCAAGGCTAGCCTAAATCTCATAAGGAGATCCTGTCTCAAAACAAACAAAAGACTTCTGCTTAGGCAGCATGGCATACATCAGTGATGGCAAACTTATGGCACACGTATTAGTGTGTTTTTCTTTTAAGACAAAAGATATTAATGTAGAACTGGTTTTTTTCTAAACTAAAACCTCAGTATTCAGGTTTAACTGCAGTATATAAGTGGGTTCTATTTGTTTTAAGATAGGGTCTTCTATGTAGTCCTGGCTGGCTTTGAACTCACTACGTATCCCAGGCTGGCTTCAAACTCATGAGGATCCTCCTGCCTCAGCCTCCTGAGTGCTGGGATTACAGGTATACAAAAGTGAGCTTTGGGTTGCAGTTTGGCACTCATCCTCTAAAAGGTTTACCATCACTGGTACATATGATAGAAGAAATCTAAAAACAACCAAGTCATCTTTGCTCGACCAATGTACATATCTTCACACAAGATTGGATGAAGGCTGAAATTCAGTGAGGTAACCAAGAGTTCAAACTGCTTTTGACTTAGAACCATCAAACCTAGTAACTTACAACTTTGCTTTTGAGGGAAATACAGGGCACTGGAGACGAAGTATAGATTCAGATGAAGAGAAAGTAGACGACCTAACCAGACAATGCCCAAATAAGGCTTGAGCTCCAAATGTCTACACAGGCAAGTATAACTGTACATCAAAAATAAACCTGTCTCACATAAACTGTCAGTCAAATGCAGAAGAGACAAAAAATCTCTCCTGAAAAATTCAACACCACGTGCAAGACTGTTCACCTGCAGATCCACATTACCTGGTTACTAAACAAATACACAAAAATATCATGCTGACAATTTAAAGTGATCCTTCAGCTGGTAGTGCCAATTCTGACTTTTATTAGAAACAAATATTTCTTTTTGGAAGAATCTACCTTCTAACCAGACCTCAAACTTTCCACAGGCAAAGTTCTAAAGCACTTACTGTCAAAATCATACACACACACACAAAAGTAATCAAGGTACTACTGTGGACAAAGGAACCAGAAAAAATGACAGAACAAGACTAGCAAAAGCCCAGCAAAGCATTTAATGTGTTTAATAAATGGAAACTCTGAAAATAAGTAAAGAGCAACACACTTAGAAATAACCAAGACTTCCAGAAGCATCAAAATGAAAACCATAAACATTCCAATTCAATCACCAACAGAATAGACAGACATAGTCAGCACAGTGATACAATAAATAAATAAGGCTTTAGAGTAAAAAAGGTTAAGCTGGGCGTGGTGGCGTATGCCTGTAATCCCAGCACTCAGGAGGCTGAGGCAGGAGACTGAGGAAGAAGGATGCTGTGATTTCAAAACCAGCCCAGGCTACATAGTGAGTTCCAGGTCAGTCTCAACTACACAGTGAGACCCTGTCTCAAAAAACAAAAAACAAAACAAAGCCCAATAATATATTTTCTAGATAGTTCATGTCAACTTGAGATTATAGCCTCCCCCTAACTTGTTTTAAATTTAATGCAATTCTAAGGGGAGGGAGGCAGAGGTGGACCCAATTTTAGAAAAAAGAGGACTTGACAATCCGGTCCTAAACTTTATATTGAAAACCCAAAAGGCCAATGACAGCCCCTAAAAGATCCAGCCATATATGGAAACAGTATTATTTTAGCATTGGTGAGGAAAAGAACTCTTCAATAATGGTACTTCAAGTAAATTACAGGTGCAAGGCAAACAAAATTTTCAGAAGGGGAAAACAATTTATTACAGCAATGACAACCTTGAGGTAATAAAAGCATAAAAATAAAAGCAACAATTTAACTACATTAAAAAAGATACTGTTCATTCAGACAACATAAGTGAAGACAGCCACAAAAAGATATATGTAACACAGGTAACAAATGAATTGCTAGTGTCGAAAAAGTAGTAAAATGAAGTAGAAATCAGCAAGAAAAAGACAGGAAACCTAGTGTAAAAATTGAGAAAAAGACTTCACAAATGCACGTGAATGACCAAGATATTTGAATGTATATACCTAGCCTAATTAGATATCAGGAATATACAGATTAAAAGCTATAAGAACATAATTATTTCATACAAAACTGGTAAAGATAAAAGCTGATGGTATGAAGTGTACAGAATACCAACAAATCTTTTAAGTTGTTATTACAATTAAGATTTTCTGAACCTTTTTCCTTATCAGCCAAATTCTTTCTGAACATTTTTCTCTAATTCCCATTTCCCTATTTTAAAACCATATGTTAAAAGCCGGGAATGGTGGCGCATGCCTGTAATCCCAGCACTCAGGAGGCTGAGGCAGGAGGATTGCTGCAAGTCTGAGACCGGCCTGGGCTACATAGTGAACTCCAGGTCAGTCTCAACTACAAAGTGAGACCCTTTCTCAAAAAACCAAAACCACAGAAAAAATAAGGAGCATCAGATACCCCATTAAGGGGCAATTTTACCTGTAGATATATATACTTTAGGTGGACTCTACAGCTTAACAGTCAAGCTAGAGGGAAACTGAAGATCAGGTAAAGCAAATATAAATAGATTTCAGATAGTAGTAGAGAACATGGTTAAAAATAAAAATTTTCACAAATATTTTAGATAGCAAAGTAAAACGCTTGGCTAAAAAAAAAAATCAAAACAAACAGTAAGACCAAAAAGAAATATAATGTCTTCAGTCAGTGAAAGATTTAGTAAATTCTTTTCCTGTCAAAGTCATGTCATAAAGTAATTCAAATATCAGAAACTTTCATATGCCTTACAATAAACACAAAATAAGTAACTGAACTTACCTCTACATTTTCATCTCCCATTTCTTGAGGGGTATCAGTGTCTGGTTCAATTACGCCTTCATTGTCGATTTCTGCCAAAGTTTAGAAATGGTAAGACCTGTGTTGTACAACATAATACCCAGGACCTACAGGAAATTATCATAAATCCTTTTCCTTGCTTTTGTCAGGGTCATGCTATGTAGTCCTAGCTGGCCAAGAATTTATGATTTCTAGATTGAATTTGCAATCCTTCTACCTCAGACTCCCAAGTGCCACCATGCCCTGCCAAAAACTAATTAAAAAACGATGAAGTATGGACAGTGCAACTGCAATGAGTTATTTTAACTGTTAATTAAATATTTAAGTGCGGTAAATATTTCACTATTAAATATAACTTTACTATTTTCATAAGACTACCACTTTACTGTCACATCATGTCAAATACTTTTAGTGGATTGCAGAGGATATGTTGGGAGTGTGGGTTCTAGTGCTAGAGAAACACCACTGAGTGAGTGCAACAAAATGACTCATTTCAAATAATTTTCTGCATAATGATGTACTACAATATGGTTTTTAAAAATACTTTATGCAGATAATACAAGTTAACAATCAAACAGTACTAATAAAAGCTTTTTCTTTTTTTTTGGTACCGGAGATCGAGCTCAGGTCCTTGTGCTTGTGAGGCAGGCACCGGAACCACTGAGCTAAATCCCTGGCCAATAAAAACCTTTCAATACATCTACTTGCACCTTTAAAAACAATATGGACACGGGCTGGGGATTTAGCTCAGTGGTTCTGCTGCCTGCCTTACAAGCGCAAGGTCCCGAGTTCGATTCCTGGTACCAAAACAAAAAAAAAAAGGAAGAAAGAAATGGAGCTTGTCTCATTATGAAATAGGTTGCTCTGTGTACACAAAATGCTTCTTGATGGAGCACTGGTAAAAAATTATTAATGCAATTATGAAAATTATAGGACAAAAAGGCATTTCACCAAAAAATGGAAAGATCCTCAATTAACCCATCAAAATAACCTTTCTAACAATATCAAAGATCAACTCATATTGCTAAGTGTGGTGGTGCAAACCTGAAATTCTACCAGAGGGAGGCTGAGGCCAGGAGGATCACCAAGAGTTTGAGGCCAATCTAGAAAAACACAGTGTGAGTTCAAGGCCAGCCTGAACTATACAGCAAGAACTTGTCTTTAAAAAACAACAACAAGCTGGGTACGGCGCCTGTAATCCCAGCACTCGGGAGGCTGAGGCAGGAGGATCACCGTGAGTTTGAGACCAGCCTGGGCTGTAGTGAGTTCCAGGTCAGTCTCAACTACATAGTGAGACCCTGTCTGAAAAAAAAAAAAACAAAAACCACCACAAAACATGACTCAAATTAGAAAAGCTGAAAATATTTTTCTTCAGCTTTTAGTAGGTTCTGTGACATAAAAGACTACCCCATTATCAGGGTATATTTGAGTTTAACACACTGATTATTAATTAGGCCCAAAAAAACTCTGGCATAACAATTCTAAATATAAACCAGTTTTGTCAGCATGGATGCTATTACTAAAGAAAAATAATTTGTTGATCCAATCAGTTATTAGAAAAAAATTTAAAGCATGTTTAGCTAAGTGTGGTGGTACAAGCCTGTTATCCCAGCACTTGGGAGGCTGAGGCAAGAGGAATGCTTCAAGTTCAAGACCAGCCTAGACTACATAGTGAGATGCTGAATTACTTAGCAAGATCCTATCTCAAAAAAAAAGTATGTCTAGAACAACCTGGGTATGTGACCCAACATTTTCAAATGCAAATACCATGAAGTCTGCATTATTTCCAATGAAAATATAACATCTGAACTGAGTGATACCACATATGTGAAATACACTCTTGATTCTGAAGATTAATATAAAACAGGAGAAAAATAAGTCTTTTATAATTTATGATTGTTACAGGGATGTTAATATTTAGACCAATGTATCATTCATTAAAGTAAAAAATATACATGTGAATTCATTTCATCATCTTCTTTTTACTTAGTATTTTTATTACTGCTGATAGTCAATTTCATAAAAATCAACACAGGATCATATAAAGTTACCAAATACAAACTAGTGAATCCTCACCTAGATCACTTTCCTCACTTGATGGCTCGTCTGTTTTTATGTTTTCCTCTGTCTTCTTACCATCTGTTTTATCTTCCTAGCAAAGGGAAGGCAAACAGTGCTATCAATGTTTAGTAACATATCCAATATATTTACACTAACTTTTACAAATTTATGAGTAACTTTACATATATCAGTTATTAATGTTCCAGGTTCATTTTGGTAAACTAATTTTTTATTTGCATTTCTCCTTTTTAATTATAGGTCTAGTCCTATATCCAAATCTTTTTTGCTTTGGTACCGGGGATCAAACTCAGGACCTTGCACTTGTGAGGCAGGAGGCAGAACCACTGAGCTAAATCCTCGGCCCTCCTATATACAGATCTTTAAGACAATGCATTTTAGAACTTAAAAGTTCTTGGATTTTATAAAATGAATACTCTGGAGATACCATGTATTATACAACACCCTTAATGGGCACTGCAGCCTATAATGCTTCACAATCTGATTATTTCTGTATAATAATTTGAACATTCATAATTAGTAGTAAAAGACTATAACAGCTTAGTTCAGTGGTATGCTTGTAATCCCAGCTACTTGGGAGACTGAGGCAAAAGGATTGCTTGAGCCATGAGTTTGAAACCAAAATGGGCCCAAGCTAAAAAAACCAAGTACGGATCTGTGTAACAGTAAGTAACATACAAACAAAAATTCAAAGAATTTAGAAGAGGACATAATAGAAGGAAATTTCCTTCCCATCCTAAAAGTAACCAGTGTGGTTTCATGTATACCCCATTCTAGGATATTCTCTTATGTACATAAGAAAACTCTGCACTTTGTCTTTTCCAGCCAACAATACTGTGTATCTCAGCACACACCATTATCAACTCATCTGTCTATTCATTCAACTGTATGAATATATCTGAAATTATTTATTTAGGTTCCTTCTCCCTTTGTTTTTAAAGAACTGAAATCAAAGTCCTATATTATTATAAAATATTTGTTGAGTCCCTACCAAATGTACAAATGATACACATATACTGAAAAGACCAGTTATAATTTTAAAACAGCACATTTTATTAAAAAACATTTTGAGAACCAAGATCTGCCATGTAAAGGTACAAGATCCCAATGATGAATGTAACTGTAATGTATACTTAAAAATTGCCAATAAACTCAATGGGAAAAAAACCAAAACCAAAAAACATCTTTACCAGGAATATAGGTTCAACAATTTTGTCTCCATACAAGGATAAGTGGAAAATAGGGAAGACTTTAGAAAAAATTATGATGACATCTACAAAAAGGTACCTAACTACTTTTATGGGCCTCTGTGTATGTTTTCTCTTTTCACTCATTTATAGCTTTTATTTTTTCTTTTTCTTTTTTTCTGGTTTTTTGAGACAGGGTCTCACTATGTAGTTGAGACTGATCTGGAACTCACTATGTAGCCCAGGCTGGTCTCAAACTCACAGCGATCCTCCTGCCTCAGCCTCCCGAGTGCTGGGATTACAGGCATGCGTCGCCATGCCAGGCTCGTAACTTTTATTTTCATGTCGAAAATACAAAAACAAAAAACAAAACAACAAATTTTTCTAATCAGAAAACTTAGGAAAAAATCTTTCAGGTATGAAAGCAGAAAATGGGAGAAATAAAAAATACAGTCAAACTTTCAAGTTCCATTCCAGAAAAACATTTGTAAGTTGGATTAATTTCTAAATCCAACAAAGTGAGTCTTATAAAGTACCTGTGAAAGTTTGCAACTTGAATTTCGTAAGTCCCCATACTGAAGTTTTTCTGGGTTTGACTTTTTTTGAGGGAGGATCTTACTGTCTTCCACAGGATGGTCTCAAATTCCTGGGATCAACTGCTCCTCCTGTCTCAGTTTCCTGAGCTGGACTACAGGTGTGTCCAACTTGAAGAAAGCATTCTTGAAAGTACTCTTCCCCCCATCTCTAAACTTTAGCTACTGGCAACCTCCACCTCATTTTATTAATCCTTCTGCCCATTATGCTGGTTAACATCATAATTCACATTCAAAGTCATCCCTCAGGCTCAAGGCAGAAAAAAATTGAGAACTACTGACTTAAAATACTTGCTCATTTACTTTGCAATGCATAAGCCACTGAGCTACGCATAAAACATTTATTTATTTTAAGACATAGTAAACATGCTACTCCAAATTCTAAGTTTTCAATCAGCTTCTAGAGATTTAGTCTACACACAGAAATTTTACAAGGAGTGATAAAACTCTTAAAATGATCTCATTTCCAAGGGATACTGAGGATACTGGCAGTGGTATTTTAAGAGCAAAAATATCTTTAAAAATTCCAACAATACTTTCACACAACCCACAAACAAAATTAAAACTTACCTTGATATTTTCTTCTTCTGATTTAGCTTTATGAGTAGCAGGTGGTACTTTACCCCCCATGCTTAAGAGAAAAAAAAATTGTTTAGCAAATTAAAATTCACTAAGTCAAGCAACTTATTTATGCCTAAACGATGTTTAGAAGACTATTCTTCAAAATTTTAAATAAGGTTTCAATTAATTTGAATGCTTTATTATTATGGTTAAGTTTTTTAATCCACTTAAATTTTATTTTTAGCATACTGGTTAATGAAACCCTGTCCCTTCCAAACTTAACAAAGCAGGGCATGGTGACATACCTCCGTAATTCCAGCACTGGACAGGCTGAGGCAGAAGTATCATTGGGAGTTCAAAGCCAGCCTAGGCTACACAGAGAGTTCAAGTCTAGCCTGAACTACATAGTAAGACACTCTCAAAAAACCAAAACCAAAACCAAATCAAACAAAAACCTAACAAACATAATTATATAGCTTTTCTATGCCCATTCTCAGAGGAAATATAAAAGGCAAAGAACTCAACACGCAAGGACAAAATTATTCACATGAATTATTAGCTTAGATTTCAGTAGTTATACTGGCCATGGTGATACACACACCTGTAATCCCAGCACTCACACAGGCTGAGGCAGGAGAATCTCAAATTTGAACTCAGCCTGGGCAACTAATTTAAAAAGGGCAGCGGGGGGGGGGGGGGGGGGGGGGGGGGGGGGGGGGGGGGGGGGGGGGGGGGGGGGGGGGGGGGGGGGGGGGGGGGGGGGGGGGGGGGGGGGGGGGGGGGGGGGGGGGGGGGGGGGGGGGGGGGGGGGGGGGGGGGGGGG